ATGAATAAGTCTATATTCAGTGCAGGGTTTGGATGACATGAAGTAAATAAGGTTTGAACCCACACATTGAATAATGAGGATAAAAAACACCCAACTATTGAATAGATACCCATGTAATGAGCGCCATCCATCCTGTGTACTGAATTAGACAGGGGTCCTGTGGAATAAAAAAAGGATGTGATTATATAATTAAGTGGGGTACCATAATGCATGAGCAGAAGGGGGCAGAATTAAGGTTGTATGGGATGAGTGCATTTGAAAGTCTCACCATTAGTTTAAAAGTCTTTAGGGTGAAACTAACTCCTAGGCAAAGGTTAAGCACTAGGCTATGCATGACTGTGTAAGCCATATGTAGAAGTCTTAAGCCGATTTTTAGTAGAGCTGGCCAGAAAAAAAATTCCCACTGAAAATTTCGACTTTTCATTGAAAAATGGAAAACTTTGAGCCAAACCCCAAACCCCCAAATTTTCCAGCTTTCAGACAATTTTTTTTCAATAAAAACTTAACATTTTCATCAGAAAGCACTTTTCACTAACACATTTGTTTAATTGAAAAAAGTTGTGTACGTGAATAGCTGGATCACATTCAAAAAACATATGCATAATGCTGTGAACTAATTTAAAATATCCATTATTATCTGATCTTTATTTTAGGATTAATGATCCTATGACCTTTTGATAGGAAAAAGTTTATAATTACTCTGACACTATGCCAAGAGGTAGAAGTGATATGCATAATCAATATGATATACACATATCAGATTAAGATTTCAGTAAAATAAAAGGTTTGTCTGATGTGTAATTTGACTCAAACATTATACTTAGTCATGGAGAAGATAATTAGTACTATTTGTTAGAGAAGAGATTCAGTTACAGAAAGGGAACCACTGAAGGCACTGCCACATTGTGTAGGTAGAAGAAAACATAAAAGATGAAGACAGAATGAAAATTCTGATTATGGTTCAGGGGCTACTTACATTGAAGCCTGCTTAGAGAACATTTGAATAATAGACATGACTGACCTTTGATTCTCACAAGGGTTTTCCTCAAATTCCGATGAAGGATAAATTCTCAGTAAGGTCATCCTGTATGGACATGACTAGCCTACAGGCTATTACAAGCAATGCAAAAAAACACAGTAGTGACATAGTCCATCACATCCACTTCCATGTGCACTTAGATGATGGAAGATAAAGCTATTGTTATCTGCTTGAGTTGCCTAAAGGCATAACAGATTAAATCACCAGTCTTTGGAAGACTGTAGGATCCTTATATTCTGCT